CCCAAATATGGTGAAATCCGAGCATTCTGGTACATTCTTCTCAAAAATAAATTGAAATAGGATCCATTCCCAGCTCTATCTTGGATTAGAACCTAATTAGCATTAAAATATGCTCTGGTTTTCTATCTCCTCAGTGGATCTTAGGTCGGTCAATTAAATACAGATCATGTAACATGAAATCTGGGGATATGCATTAACTCTTCCTAATCCAGTCTGCATCTGAATAATAACACAGAGATAGGTGTCCAACTGTGCCCTTTTGGAGAGACTCCAACCTGATCCTGCATCCACAATGGTCTTTGTGCATTTTAGCATCACTGTCATGAATGTAGAAATGTAGGCACCTACGCCTTGGGAGAGGATGTTATGCTGTGCTATTGGGAATAATTTCTGAAAGGAATATTTGCCCACCTCAAGGCCACAGAAGAGAAGAAAAAGAGAAGCAGGAAGCAGTTGATATGAACTTTTACAAGTTTAACGTACCAACAAGAAAAAAGAAACAAAAAGTGAGTGATGAGAAGGGAGCAAAATGGAGCCTAACATCCCAAAGTGAAGTTCTGATGTAACACAAGGCAGCAGTCATTGATTGGCACGCACACGGACCTTCAGCCCTATAAACATAATTAATAAAGTGTTTAGAAATAAAGAATAAAGGTGAAACCCACAAGCAGTATGCAACATGAAGGCCCTCACTTCACATTGCAAGCAGGGGCTATTAAATGTGTTGACCTCTTTGGATCTGTTGATAATACTCTGCTCAGCACCTGAGGAGGTCCTGAATTCCCTTGAGAGGTGAAGCTATTTCTTCATACTTTGCTTCCAGCGGACTATTCTCCTTATAAGATATTGATAATTTTCTTTGCCTCTTTTTTACTCAGCTGTGCCATGTTTTTTTAAAAATAATTTCCACATTTTTAACCCCACAAATTTTGGATTTAACATGCAGGTTCCATCCTAGGGTGTCGCTCTGTCCTGAGAGACCCTCAAGTTGTTTGCTTCACTTTGTGGTAATCCCAGAAACACACAAAACAGCCCAGAGTTGGGTTAATGTTTCGGCATTTGGCTAATTGTGGTGCATATTCTTCCTAAAATCTTATATTCATTCTAGAAGCATCATAGAATAATTGAGGTAGAAGGGAACTATAAAGCCATTGAGCCCAACTCCCTGTTCAATGCAGGAATTCAAATCAAAGCAGATCTAATGGTTCTGTAATTTTCTCTTGAATCCTTCCAGTGTTGGAACACTTATCACCTCCCAAGGTAATTGGTCCCCTTGTTGTAACCTCCATTCTGAACTAAGCTGGTACCAGAATGTAAAGATAGGAGAGATTTAGGCCTACTTCCCATTTGGTTTTGATTTAAATATGTTCATCTTTTTAACTTGGAAGTCATTTTAAGATGAAAATTAGTAGAGAAAAACTTCAAACTCCTCCCCCCTGTGAACAGAGATATCATTCTGGGTCACGTCACATGGGCTTAATTTAGAATAAAAAAAGATTAATGCATAGCTCTCTATGTGTTTTTCATATGTGTAATATAACCCCCCAAATATCAATTTTGATAGCTTTGCAGATAAAAGATCTGACAAGTACCCTGTTTCCCTGAAAATAAAACAAGGAAATATCAATTTTGATAGCTTTGCAGATAAAGATCTGACAAGTACCCTGTTTCCCCGAAAATAAAACAGGGACTTGTATTAATTTTTGCTCCAAAAAACCGCATTAGGGCTTATTTTTAGGGGATGTTTTATTGTTTTCATGTACAACAATCTACATTTATTAAAATACAGTCATGTCATCTTCTGGTTTCTGCATAATGCTGGAGGGCCTAGTTTCACTTAACTAGGGCTTATTTTGGGAGTAGGGCTTATATTAGGAGCATCCTGCAAAATCCTACAAGGATTTATTTTCAAGTTAGGTCTTATTTTCGGGGAAACAAGGTATCTTGCTTAGTAATTTGCATATTATTTCCTCATCTGCTAAGCTGGATGGAGAGAAGGGGAATTTCCCCTGAAGTGTGTCATATGTTATACCTTCAGAGACAGAAGGAACATTATGGCTTCTGCTTGTAAAATGTAATGTTATACCTTCAGAGACAGAAGGAACATCATGGCTTCTGCTTGTAAAATGTAATGTGCACAGCTGCAAACCGGGCCCTTAGATTTTGATTCAACAAATACAATTTTGGATGACGCTTATTGGATTTGGGTGTTCAGGGGCTATCATACTGGGTCTTGAAAAACTCCCAGGGGGTTGATGTCACCTCTAAAAATTGGTGGTGAATATTGCGTTTTTGCAGTCAGGTTATGTTGACTGCAGAGGCATGTAAACTTGTGCCCATTAATTTGCGCTCCTGCTTAATGAATGCACAGCCTTTTGTTTCGTGTGCTGGAGATGGGGGTCATTTTGGATCCTTGGTCACAGACTGGATGCAATCGTTTTTGTTTTGCAGATCTTCTCACTGTAACTTCTTTGGTATTTAAAAACTTGCAGGCAGGCTGATGTAACCTAAGCAGAAGTTGGCCATGCAATTTTTTAAAGGCAGCAACTCTCAAATTTCCCCACCTAACATGGCCTGTCTGGAAGATTCTGGGAGTTGTAGTTCTGAGAATAAGGGAACATAGCAGAGTAACTGTGACAAATGGGACTGCGTGAGCGGTTCACATTTTCAACTGCAGCTAAAACCCAGAAAAAAGAAACTTCTAGGACATACTGTACCTTAGGGCTGGCTCAAATTAGAAATACTGAAAACGGGTCTGGTTAATAAATAGGTTCACCTTTACTGTGCCATAAAGTCAATCCTTTTTTTGGAGGGGGCAGCAGCCTAATACAGCAACCTGTTCCAAACTTACTGCCCAACAGTGAATACATGAGCGTCCACCAGCCTTCTTTCTGTCTTTGGCTTCTTTCAGACAGAGAGCATTTGTAGTCCTTTAAATTCGTCATTAAGCACTGCTCTTAATGAGAATATCACCAGCATCTAAATGATGCTCTTTTTATCTTTGCATGTACAGGTTTTTTTTTGGTATGCATATGTTTGAGTTCCTCCCAACCCCTTTGTGTCACTTTAAACCCTTCAAAAAGTGAACAGACCTGAGAATTTCTTGAAGCGAAAAAGCAGTTTATTTTGAGCTCAGAAATCATAAATGCATTTGTGGGTGCCCAAAACAGCTGGGAACCCAGAACAAAAGATAAAGGGTATAAAGCTGTCTTATACCCTTAGCTGGCATGATATTCAATCCTAAATCTACGTAAAGCCAAAAAAACCCTTCCTGTCTTTTCTTACTTGTTGAGATTTTTTTTAAACTATGCATTAGGGGTCTGCACTATGTTACCTTGATACACGACATTAAGGTATTTCTTCTAATTAATGCAATGAGCTACCTTATCAGAAAAGACACTCCTCAAGATGTCTCTATCTCATATTCCAGTGGTTCTTAACCTTTTTGAAAGAAACGCCCCCTTGAGCCATTGAGGAAGTTAT